ATCACTTTTCCAAACCACCCTTTCGAGAGAGAGAGAGAGAAAGAGACTTCTTTTGAGTAATTTCATCGCAAATGAAACCAGTTTTCATTCCACTCCATGGATTTTCACCTCAACAATTGGAAGGAGATGTTACCCCCATCCAAATGCAGGGAAGGAGAGAAATTTCATCCATTATTTTATTGCAAAAATGAAGAGAGAGAGAGTGTGTGAAATGCTATGGAGAAGATCAATGCTTTCTATTTGCCCACCCTCATCGCTCTGTCTTGCTATTTCTTGCCTCTTGTCTTCTCTAATAAATACACAGCACAGAAGGGTGGATGAGTGTTTGAGAACCTGCTAACCCTATAAAGTTGAAGTGATATGTTTGGAGAATACCTATTGAAAAGGGGATAAGCATTTAACAGTGCCGAGAACCATGGACGATTCCCCAAAAGATAAGGTATGAAAATTGCAAGTTTTCGAGGAACAAAACATGGAAAACACACGCCACAAAGTGCCTCCCGTGTATATAATCTAGATCCATGAGATTTCTATCTAGCGATAGAGTGGCCATGCAAACATATCAACACAGAGATGATGCTCTATAATAGATATATCTCCAAAGCTCAGCCCATAATTTCACCTCGAATTACTAGAGTGTCTGTATTTGCAACAGTTTATTTTATGATAATTTAATTTACCACCTACTGTTCGCCTCTTCTCAACATGGTAACATGAATTTTCTGTCTCTCCATCATCACATATATTCATTCCAGACCATTCCAACTGTCCAAATTCGCTGTAAGACGCTGCAGAAATCGCCAAGGCTTCCGAAGGTGAACAGACTCGCGACGTTTCCCGCAAACACGCCGGATAATTGGCTATATGGAAACCTAGCCCTCATTTAACTATTCACCGATCCCGAATGCCCCGTGCTAATTTACGAGCATGAGATTTGCTGATTTCGCCTGAAATATTTCACAAAATCGCCTTCACCGCCGACAAACCTGCGTATAAGGCGCGCGAGAGTCGCGAAGAGACATAAAGTTAAACGCTGACAACAACTCAACATGAGTAAATGTTCAGATTCTTCATATTTCGCCTCAAATTCTCGCAGAGTAATTATGCAAATTGTGTATTCACATTGCTGGATGATTTGCACATTGTTAATTGCCCAAATTTGAGCATTCCATCGGCTGCACAGCGTCTCAAGTCAGCGTGATTGATCGAATCGCCGCCACTTATTAATAAATAATCGCGCACTACTGCATCTTGAGGATGCGGCAAGATGATTTCGGCGATCGAGATGTCGCGATAAGAGCGCGGAATATCACGTGAGGACAAAATGCTGGCTGATGAAACTCCCCTCGACTGGAAAACACTCTCAAAAGCGTCTCACACACACACTCAGTGTATTTGGGAGGGAAAAGAACAATATTGTGTTTCGGAGATCCGTTTTATAGGTCACTGAGCAAAACGTTTAACTTGTCTATTTTAGTACAATGAAATGTACTACCAGTCTTTGCCATTGTGGGACGCTTTCGAGAGTTTTCTCCCCTCTGAACAGATATGTGTATCTTATTTAAGAAATTTCTGCCCATGCTCCGCTATCTTGATTTATATGCCCTAATATATGCTTCATATAGTTTCAAATTGTCTTACATATTTGTGGAATCCCAGGCAATATATCGTCTCACACCCCCTAAAACCAAAAAAAACAGACAGAGAGAGAGAGAGAGAGATTCTGAGCCAAGAAGAGTGGGTGAAGGAAAACAAGAAACATCCCCAGCATTGGAGATGACTTTGATATGGTGGGATTGTTGGTACCAATTTTTCCACCCTCTTTGCGAATTTACAATATATAAAATTACTTTTATGGTGCACATTTTGTGTGTCACAAAAAATATACCCCAAAACATAGACAAGGACGCAGCAAAAGGAGGAAACTAAACCACGCGATGCCTTTCGATGGTAAAATCAAGTTAAGATGCCAGGAAGGGAGAATTTCGCACAAGGACGAGGCGCAAAAAGGAAACCCCATTGAGATCACAGCACCCACTTTCGCACTGCGCCCGCAAAAACTCTCTCTCTCTGTATTATTCCTTGTGAGACACGAGACAGTGGGAGATAAGAACCACCCACACTCCTTATCCCTGGCGAAGAAAAAAAACTTTGTGCTATGTGTTAAAGTTTTGTCGCTTTTCCCTTCGAATGTTCCTCTTGTTTTCCACTTGCCCCACATGTGCCTGTCCAATATTGTGCCCACATTCTGTTCTTTTACGTGTCTGCAGCAAATTCTCAAATGCGCCTTTCTTTGCAGGACACCGAAAACAGTGCCGGAAAGAATTCAAGATACATTCGGGGGTGTTCTAATGAAGAACAAGCATTCAGTTTCTGTCTCTGTGATGCAAGAATTTGAAATGAAAGCCCTCAAATGTCTTCAAGATCCGTCCGGATGAAATAGAAAAGCTCTAAGCCATTTGCCAAGATGCTCTTCTGCCACTAAAGTTCACTCATCCACTGTTAAACTTCTGCTGAATCTGGTGTTGTTATTCCAGGCAGAAATCTTTGCCGCCGGTGACATTTTCTAATTGAAGTCGCGTTGTCGACGCTTTTCCTTATGCAAAACTTCTCTTTCTTTGCGTCACATTCGCATGTCTTGGGGTGGAAAAATTGGAACAATGCGCCTCTTTGTCGTGATGTAATTTCTTAAATTGCAGAAATGTCACAAACAAGCAAGAGTTGAGATTCCCGCTCGCGCCCCGACAAGTCAAATGGGGATGTTTTGGTGGAGCATCCAAGGAAAAAAAACACGCGCCGAAGCACAACATTCAGCAATTATTCCGCCCAAGCATTCTCCCAGGAAGTTGTGCCACTTTCGTAAATTGTTTTTAATTTATCCCACCACGCAGAATTCATCCTCCCCAGTCGGTGGCCTTGGATAAATAAGGGATGGAGTGTTAACACCCCGCCGAAAAAGTTTCTCTTCGCCGTTTTCTTGCCCTCTCGACTCTGGGAGAGCTTTAGCGCCACTCCAGAGCTTTTTCCCACCCCCCCTAACAGCCTGTTCGCACAACTCAAACTTCGCAACATTAACATTTCTTAGCGCACACACACGAGCCCAGAATATATGAAGTTGAAATGGGATTTGTCATATTTTTTCTGCCTCCTATCTCTCTTGGTTATTATTTTTATCATGCCATATATAGAATACCATTTTCACAGAACGCTTCGACTCTTGCACACATTTCCGTCGATTCCCTGAGGCGGTATAAAAATTCAACAGACAGAATATTCACAAAGGAATTAATCATGAAAAATACTGCAAGGATGTTTCGTATTTGCTCAATTTTATTTCTTCTATCTCTCCACCATCCCACTTATGTTCTGTTCTCTCTCTCGCTCTCACTCAATGTGGAGTTTATATAGACTTTTTGGGGACGAGTGAATGAGAAGATGCCGTCACAAGGCGAACAGCATTCCTTTTTTTCGGTACACTCGCGTCCCACCGCTTCTTTCATCATTCTTTTCCCTCCTTGCGCGCATCCTTTGCCGGGTATTTTCATCCCTCAAACCACCCGAAAATCCTCCGTCATTTTCTGCATAGTAATTTTTGGTCTCACTGTACAGAATGGCTCAATCTAGAAGCTTGATAATCACCCAGGATAATCACCTTCTTATCAAGATTGTGCATCTTGTGCTTCACAGCATCACAATTGTGACAGAAATCACGGGAATTCCTCGAGAAAAAAAAGCTCAAAACACAGAAATTCACAACTTCCTAATTTCCACTAATAAAAAGTGGTGGAAAAACATCCGATTTTATCCACTCTGTGTTGCCGCAAATTCAAGAAAATGGATGAGTGGATACAGAAAATATCAACGGTGAGCATTGAGCAACAAGGAGAAAAAAAAACTAGATAAAAGATATACAATGGAAATCTCGCAAGAACCTTCACAATTCCATCCCTCAGCCAAGCATTTTTTTGTGTCTCTGCCATTTTCCCAAGTATGGAAAATACGAAATAATTGAAGGAGTGAAAGGAAGAAGACACAAAAGTCAGAGATTTCCACTTCAATACCGGCAGCTTTTTCGCTCTTTCATTCCATTGCGACTCCCGGTTTGTGTGTGGAGAAATTTCTCATGGAAGTCAACACGGAGATTTTGCCGGCACAATTGAGATTACGCCCAGACCACACACAAGATTTCGATTTGAAAAATCCAAGAACCACACATTTTCCGTATATTGACAAATTACAACAATTCCCTCGAGAAAGAGAGAAATCTTCGATGGAAAACGCGCACAACATCCAAAAATTTTTCACCACATAAAGTGCATCAAAAAGTCCGTGCAATCTCGGACTTTCATACAATAAATCGACTTGTGTGTGAATTGTGAGGATAAGAGAGAAGAGTCCAGATAAGCACGAAGAATGGAGAAAAGTTTCACCAACAGTCGTAATTTCAAGGAGTCGAAGAAGAAGAAGAATAAGAATGAAAACAGAACAATTTTCTATATACACACACACAGGACAACACAGGGGAGAAACATTTTACACTGCGGATCTCGGCTCTCTTGCCACGAACACGCGGAGATTTATGGGCATGTGACGACGGGGCAAGAGGAGAGGCGAACAAGGATAAGAAAAATACATAAAACACTATTTAGTTGATGCCACATTGAGAGTGAAAAAGTAACCATTCGAGAGACACCCGAGCGAGGAATACAATAGAAAATGGTATTTCTATTTCATGTACACCCAACATAAAATATCTGCTATACATATTGTTGAGCACACATAAATCTGCGACTGAGCATTTTTATGCAAATTCCCATCACACTTCTTCCCCAACGCGAAACCCACCCTGGGTCGCTGCTTTTCCGCGCAATTCCGCAAGGAAGTGACTCGGAAAAGCACACACTATATTTCCTCCAGCTGCACTCAGAGACTTTTCACCACTTCGCCGCGATAAGACACTTCGCGATAGGCCGGATTATTGAGTGTGTTGTCATTATTACCTTTTCCAGACATCCTTCGCGGCACTGCTGCACTCTGGACGGCGGCGCCGACTGCTCCGAGTGCAGGCCAGAGCTGGTCCTGGCCGCGGCCAGCGTGGCCAGCGAGCACAGGATCGTGATCCACAGGACACAATCACTAGACACCATTTTCATCTATGGCTATATCTCTCTCAATATCTCAGCAAACTCAAGATAAAACTCAAGAGATAGAAAACAGGAAAGAACCGAGAAGATGCTCAAACAAACACACCAGTGTAAATCATAAAACTATGCGCGATAAACATAGAACAAACTTCCAAACAAGTGTAATGGGCGGATAAGAAATTCCCAAAACAGATCGGCACAAACTCAAAAACTTCACCCCGAAATTTCTCTCAAAGGATTTTCTTCTCTTGTCCAAAACTTCTTCTTCAGTCACACTTCTTGGCGCTTGTCACACTCGCATTTGCCCGATTCGGCGAGTGATTAGATAATCGCACATTTGCGCCCGCAACTCAGCTCCACCACTGCGTTTGTGGAAATCGCTTGGCAGACCCGTGAAGGAGACTCACGACGTGACGACCGAATTCTGCGCTTGCAGCTCTATTGATTCTCTTACTCTTCGCGGGAGCACTTCACGATTTTCGAATGGCAGCGGCAGCACGACCTTCGCTTGCGAGAGCCTAAACTAAACTGTTGGCTGCGCGATTGAAACTGAAACCCAGTCGAGAGCTTCAGCCTCGGCGGACCTGCACTCCTCTCTGTCACTCCATCCCTATTGGATTTCCGAGCGAGACAGCTCTGCTCTGGCCATGCTTGCGCGACGGAGAGCACGAAGTTCCGCGCGAGTGTTTGAAAATGAGCGCGAAAGAGATGCCAAAGAAGAGCGCCATCAGCCGTCTCAGCAGTTCATCTCACGCAGAGCGAGATGGACAGCGTGTCACACTCGGAGAAAGTTCCCAAATGCGAGAATTCCCGTGTGGCAGAGAAAGATGTGCAGCGACGGGGTGAAAAGACGCGAAACAGACGACATTTTCCCCCCTCATTCTGACTCTGTCTGGCGCAGCAGCCTCCAGCGCTCGGGGTGAGACGCAAAAAAAAAGCGCAAATGGACAAAAACATCCCCGCTAGGACGAGAATGAGTGAGAGCGACAGCGCTGTGTATGAAGAGTTGAATTGAATTTGCATTAATTGAAGCTTCCCGAGCAATGAATGAACGAATGAATGGGAGACAATTTAAGGAACAGCAAAACTTGAGATTAATTAAACCTAAAATAATTATTCCTAATTAATAACACCATTCCATTAGGCATCCTTCAGGATGTGTGTGCTCAGGATGCCAGAGCCTCTCGTGCACCATAAATTACGGATTGTGTCACCCAACAGCATCGGCACACATATGGCCGCATTTGGGGGCGAGCCTGAGTTTTCAATCTCAATTCCTGTGACAAGATTGGGCGCAAGGAGGCACATTCGGGGGCATGATTAGAGTGCATGTCAATTAGTATCGATTGCCCATGAATGCGGAGAGCCGGAGTCCGTGGTAGGGAAATACCGCAAATTCCACTGTGATTTGTGCACAAGGTGAAGCTCCGCAGCCTCTCACCCTCGCACGCAGATAATTAATAATACAAGAATCTCCGCGCCGCGACCATCGTGACTCCCTCTCGGAAACAATAAAAGCTGCAGAATTGAGAGAATCTGTGCAAACGCTCGTATTACCACCGCGACTCCATTTGAATCCGAAGGTGCGTTTACGCCGCCAGAAGCCGCGAAGAGGTGAGAGATTCGCGAGAAGAGATGCGACTACACTGCTAGCAAGCGGACGCCAAAGCCCGTGACAAAGTGGTCAATGCAATATTGGAATGAATTGTGGCGCCTGGAATTCCAATTTCCATAGAAATTCTAAGGATTTCTGCGTTTTCTGCAATTCAGCAAAGCCACAATGAGCAGAGACACCTTTTTAAAGGAGAAAATAAACGGTCGTAATTATAATTATGTCTTGATTAACACTATATAATAAACAGTACGAAAATTGTAGGCTCCAAAGATTATCTAAGGAAGTTATGATAATATGTTGAAATATCTATAAGATATTAAACTTACCTTGCAATTTCTTTCTTTATTTAGGTTTATAAAAAGATTTTATCTGGATTTTAAAACAAATCCAGATTAAATTGCAAAATAATCAAAAATTTACTATTTTCAGCGAAAAATTTAAAAATTCATTTAAAATTTTAATAGAGAAATAAAAAGATATTTTCCAGAAATTATTGCAAAATAATAAAGAATTTAATATTTTCGTCAAAATATTTAAAAAAAAAAAATTCATTTAGAATTTTAAAAATATTTAAAAACAAATTTTCTTGATTAAATTGCAAAATAATCAAAAATTTAATATTTTCGGCAATATATTTTAAATTAAATTTTTAAATATTTAAATTGGTCACAAGCTGGATTCGAGCTCCTAAAAGTGAGAGAAGAGTGAAATTTTTTCAAGAAAAGGGAAAAATATCCGAATTTGTAAGAATTGCAATTTCTGAAGTCAATTTCATACGTTCTAAATTGTTTCTCAAACTCATTGGGAGTTCAAGAGAAGTCCCAAGAGCGATTTCTTCCAGTGTGAAGGACCCAGAGTCGCGCTTGCATGGTCCGAATCCTCGCGAGTTTCTTCTCATGCCACTCTCGCGAGCTCTTGGCCGCGGAGCATGCATGAGCCCGGCAGTGCTCACAAATTGTCGACAATGGTCACGAGGAACCTAATTATGTGTACAGCCTTGTGTCGCAGACATCCAGTCGCACTGCCTGCAAGACATTTATGTACAAAACGCAACAGTAATTAGCGTGGATTATGTTTCTGTTGATTTGCCTTGCGTACAGTCTTTTATCTCCCTTTTCGGCTCATTTTTCTTGCCTACCCTTCTTTTGGGCCAATTTCGCCTCTCACGTGCGCCTCTTCTTCGCTCTCGGCCTCTCGCCACTCATTGGCCGAATAAATCAAGTTTGATTTCGTGTCTTGGCTTGCCAAGAGGGGCGAATTTCGCCCCCGGAGAATCTCAGGCGATCTCTCACGTTGGCGGAGAGAAGTTTCTTTTGACACTTTCATAATTAGTATGCACATAGTGAAAACATTAATTCTCTGTGTGAGTCCAACACAAAACAATTGAAAACAACTTTGATTGAATTTGTAAATCTCAGACTTCCCCATGAAGTTCGTCCTGTAGCAGAAATCCCCACCCCACCGAGGCACATTCTCATCCACAGTCATTCCGTCACCCCTTTGAACTTGCACAAGACTGAGAAGATTTCCTCAACACTTTCCCGGCGACGTGTATGTGTGCCAAACAATTTTAGCATAGAGCGAAGATGGTAGCTGGAAATGGTCAACTTTATCCTCTCCAGACAAAACTTAATTCACATTTCCCGAGCTCACACGGGGCTGGGTGGTGCGCCACCCCCGACAGTCCACAGAGTGCATGCATATAATTGTTCGGAGGGGAGAACAACCACAACAGCTAAGTACAATATCGTCGTCGAGGCATGCATCCGCAGCTGTGGAGTGTGAGAACTATAGACTAAGTGAGGCTCCTCAAGATGACAATGAATCTTTGCTTCCCAGATCCCTCAGACCTCTCCTTTCACGCTCATCCCCCGAGGGTTGGAGGAGAATCAACGAAGATTTGCTACTTCTAATTCTATAAAATACACATGACATGCACTCGTGTTAGTTGCACTAAAAGCTCTCCGCTGCGCTGGATTCACACAGCAAATATTTATTATTTAAAGTTTTACTTTTCTCATCTCCACCCCCGAGATGACTGAGAATCCTCGCATCCACAGCCCCTCTCGCCGGCATGGGAATAATATATGTTTCTCCTGGATTTCTAATCCTCTATAGATTCTGCACTGCACGAAATTGAATTTATTGGTCAATTTCGGGGATTGAAATATGTGTTAACAAAAGACTTAAGAAATCCTCCATTAAATCCAAGGGGAAGATATTCAAGTCGGAAGTGCTGTACAGCTTTTTGAGGAAGTGTTACGAATTGAAAGTGGCAAAATATTTCAGATATTTGCTTCTGTTTCAAAAAATTGAAACATTTTCTTAATTATTTTGACTAGAAAAATCAATTTGATTGTTTCTGGCCATTGATTAATCCTAAAAATCTTCAAATTTGTGGGTTTTTCTTGACACAGTTGAGCATTTGTACTCGAAAAACTTCAGATTGGTTAAATTTCGGAAGTAAAAAACAGTTTTAAACTCAAACATAACCTCAAAAATATCATTTTAGACGTTTTAGTCAGGATAAAAGTCTATTTTCTTAGTTATTTCCGCGGTTTTTACTTTATTATTGAGCTTAATCATCAAGATATTCATTATATTTCTTCATTTTCAGGTTTCGAAGGATTTAAATTGGTCCAGGAAGTTTTTTTTTAAGCGGAATTCAAAGACTCACAATTTAATCAAAATTTGTCTAAGTATTTTCCTTTGTCAAACCAAGATGTTAAACATTTTATGTTTTTGTGAAAGGATAGGAACACTGGTTCCTATCCACATGCCATTTTTAAAATCGATGCCAAATATTGTTAAGATGTGTTAATCACAGAGTAATAAACAGTGGAGATATAAAAAAAAAAAAGTATTTTCCAAAGACAATACTTAAAAATGAAGATAGAAATTATACATGAATAAATTCTGGGACATTAAGATCTGTTCTTACGATCTAAAATCTAAAAGTTTTTGAAGAAATTTAACCTCTTGAAGTAGAAAAAACCTAGATTAATTTGTGATAAAACAGAATTGAGTGTGAGAAATAATTAAAGGAGTCAAAAAAGGGAAGAAAAACGCCTTGAAAGGTGTTTAGAAGTGTCTGAAAGAGGTTTACAGATTTAAAGCACATTATCTCCCCCTTGATTAAATTCGCAAATTCAATATTTATCCACCAAACTGTATGACAATAATCAAATAAGAATATCTAGTTGGGCAATAATTGCGCAATGGCAGAAAGACAACGCAATAAATCTGAGAATTACTTTTGTCAGATAATGAAAAGCCGAGTGAAAATTGAACGCATGTAGAAGAGCGGAAAACACGAGACATACATATGTAAAAACGCTAAAATGTAGGCATGTTTGCACATAGCGAACTCTCGACATATGCACTGAAAATCATATCTGCGTTACCCTATTTATTAGTCCCAAATTGCTCGAACAGATTAAATAATAAATTAGCATATAATGCTGTAGCTAAAAGGTTACACAAAATCGGATTTGAGCAAAGCAGCAATTTTCTAAATTGATTTAGGATTAATGCTGTTGTTTTTACAATGGAATTTATTACGCGAAAATTCCACGTGAAACCTCATTTTCCCCGCCATAATGCACGCCGTGTGCACGCAATGACATCTCCTCGTCGGCAAATTCATAAACTTCGTTACATTTGGGCAAACTTCATCACAATCGAGCACAATTATTTCTCCCAAAAAACCCCCATCGAAATGGGGTTGCAAAATAAATTGAATTGCAAAGTAATTTAAATAAAACTGATTGTATTAAACAAAATCTATCGATTAACATTATTTTCCAAAGTGAAACCGTGAACAGGACAAAAAGTTTCGGTGCAATTAAGCGTTTTGGGATTCATTGTTGCATTTAGTGCAAAAGTTTTGTGATTTAGGGG